GGTGTTTTCCTGACTTAAATTGACCAATGCGGTGAAATTTTACAGGATCTGTACATTCAGGAAAATTCAGCTTTTATTATTCTAATGACTTCCTTGCTGTCCGAAACTACCCGATCCTCCCTCTTATGTTCTGTAGCTTCTGGTACTCCTGCTATGATTATGTTTTTGCGCCTAGCCTCTCTTTCGTAAAGCTCACAGACGATATCTTCTTGGGTAAATTGCGGGGGTATCTGTCCAACATTAGAAGTTATCTGCACATTTTGAACATTAGTTTCCAGGTTATTGATTTTGGTATTGGTTAAGGTATTTGCAAGTTTCAGATCATTTATATCAGACTTAATTTTGGTTTGTTCCGTGACTAGATCATTTGTAGTGTTTTGTAATTTCTTCAATTCATCTCGCATAGCTGACACATCTTCCGAGATTTTAGACATTATTACTGTTTGTTTCTCAATAAGGCTGTTAAAGCTTTCAACGAATTCTTTGCGGAAGTTGGCAAATTCATGTCTCATATCGTCATATTCGCTTTCGGGCTGCTTCCTCTTGCGTAGAGTTATTTGGGAATGCTCTGGTTCCTTCATTTGTAGTTTTGAGAGGTCAGGTTGAGAACCTCCACGTGCCATTGACTCCCTCGGAGATCGCAATACACTCATTGCAATTTGGGCTATGTAAGCCCTCCTTTATAATTTGCAACGTCACTCGTAAGTAAATCGTTCTTGCTACAGCGTTGTCGTCACTGCAGAGCAGGATGAATTATTAGAGCCCGTCTCTTGCACACCGCGAGTCTGAGGGGGACGGGGCACCGTTTCAAGCTGGATGTCTCGTCGAATCTATGTTCAAAAAATCCCAAATCACACGCGATGCGATAACGAGAAACGGAATCTATTCTCTTTCGTATTGAGTACAAAACTGTAAGCCAGGTAGTTAATTTATTTTAAATGAAAAACTCAGGACACGTCCACCTTCAACGCTGTCGTAACGTATTTCCATTTTTCCATTTTTTCCATTTCGTATTTATTCGTATTTCTGGATGGGAGCCTGATTTCAAACCATAATGCATATTTTTACCCCTTATAAAATAAGTCCAACATTTCATTCTCACTTCCGTCTCCTAAGAGGTAATTGCAGTAAAATTTTATAGATAAAAGCAAGAAAAAAAAATAGGCTAATTTAATCATTATAATTATAGTAGGTAGGAGTCACATAAATAGTGTAATATTATTTGGGTCTCTCGCCCTTAAAGTAGGTATTTAAGTTAGGATGGGATAAATCACATATATATATTTCTGCAGGTAAATCTTATCAGATATTTTTACAAGTCGGACTTTATAGCTAGAAGGCGCCGACATTTTCTAAGACTCGTTCTGGGAAGAAATGCCGAATTTGTTTCCGTGGTGTCACAACACAGGTACTCAATAAAATCTGAATACAATTTACACGCAATTGCACACACATTGTTCTTCCATATTTGTGTTTTGTCATTACACATCAATAATATTATTTGTCTTTTTTTTAAGTCCATGTACAATATTAAACAATATAATATAATAATTCTTTATTTTCTTCACACAATCACCAATCAGTACAATATTAACTTACATCAATAACTAACATTAGAAACAGTAATTGTGAGAGGACTGGTGTCTGAATTAGGCATGAGCCTGCAGCTCAGATCACCAGGCACTACCCTTATTTCTTTGTTGTCAATACATTATTAATGCAAATCAAGGAAATACATTTAAAGTTCAGAGAAAATAAAAATCATAAGGATACCAATATATGAATACGAAACACACAATAAAAGAAAAGAAAAGGAGAAATAGACAACATGCCGGATACCTTAAAGTATGTTTTGCGCGTGTGTGAATGTTTGAATGTATGAGTATACTCGTATATGCCTGTCTGTAGTGCGCTAATAGTGTAAGATAATGTGTTAGTATAATAAATTTATGAGTTAATTTGTTTGAAAGAGAACTATGTGAGTGCAGTATTAGGTCTGGGTTGGTCTTTTGAAGAAAGGACCATATATTTGAGTCGGCCTGTCCATATTGTTCGACTTCCAACCCCTTCTGTCTCTGTGTATGATTAATCTGTATCTGTATTTGACTAAGGGAGCAAACTTCATGGTACAACAGTACTGCAAAGAGAAGGAAAACTTGAAAGAAACCCTATCTGAAGCCGTCTAGCCAGCGTGGTATAGTAGGCCTAAACCTCCTTTCTAAGGAGAGGCCTATGTTCAGCAGTGGACCATGAAAGGCTGTTGATGATGACGATGATGATGTATGTGTTTAAAAATATATACTAAGGATCTTTAGTAAGAAATATTAAGACGGCAATAGGCTTGTCCCAAGGCTGTCCATATGGGAATAAAAATTATAGTCGACAAAACATGGACGTTTTAATATGCCTCTGTCTACCCCTTCGCAATTAAAATGCGTGAGTGCAACTAAAACCAGGATACAGGCTCAATAGTACAGGCTGAGAATGTTCAGATCGAAAAAAATAAACATAACAGTTTAAAAAAATACTTTGGAAAAATCGGTTCGTGGTAAATTATTGAACAATCGAACAGGTGTGGTGAAACAAAAAATAGAAAATTTTAGTGTGAGAACAAACGAAGAAAATGAGAGTTGCGAAATTCAATTTCGTTAAACAGGCTTTCCTCGCGATTTTTTTGCCCTTCATTATTACAACTTGTGTGAGTCGTAAGAATTCGGGTCATCAATTATAGCTATTAATATCGTCAATGTTGAAAAATAAAATAAAAATTCGTCACAAAATAATATTAAGTTTCCAATTGCAAAAATGTAAAAATAGGTGCTTCGGAACAACAAGTAAGCAGAAGAAGAAGAAAAGCATCCTACAATTTAAAAAATGGCTTTTTCCTATCCTAGTAGGCAGCAGAGGGAGCATGAGCACGGAGAGGGATTCCCAAAATTCGTTTTTAACGTAAAGAAAATGCTGCTTAGATGGAGCGCTCGCTGAAAAATCACTGGATTTTCATTGCGTTTTTTTTAAGTCGTGTACAAATGCCGACCGACCAACCTACTATGGGGTTTAGAAATAATAACTCTCACATTACGAAGTTCCAGTCTAGCCTGTACTAACTCTTATAAGGCAGTTAGGCATATTTTAAGCTTTCAGTTTTTTGACCTGTATCGAAGAAGATCGCTAAAAGATGTAGAATCCCTTCAAGCCCAAGAAGGGTGCTTCGGCGATCACCGGTGTCTGATCCGCAAAGTGTCACCACTGGGATGGCCGGGCTGTAGACACGGCGGTCCACACGCTGGCAGAATGCCCGGCGTGGGATGTGCAGTGGCGTGACCTTGTGGCGGCCATCGGAGTAAGAATTTTTTTGCTTGGTACCATGATGCATGGCATGTTTCTGGCATGGTACGGAGCGAGAGCGCGTGAAACTCCGCCGTCTCCTTCTGTGAGTAAGTTATGCTTGCGAAGAAGATGACTGTGCCAAGCATAGCATTGGATCAGAATTATACTGAAAACATACAATTGTAAACGTACAATACAGAGACTGCCTGTATTGCTTGATCATTGACAGCTCTGCGTAATAAGGTCTTAACAACACAAGTTCTCTTATACAAATAAACTGTTAATATTATAATAGAAATATGATAACATCATAATTGTTTTATTAACATATAGGTAATTTATTTGTTTTACTGCCCGTAAACACCAAGCAAGACAATAGGGACATGCTTCTGACTTCTTGACAGGGTTTATTTAAACTTAGTCCGGAGCTATAACTCAAGTAGTCAGCGTTAACTGGTGTGTAATAATGTATATCAATATCAGTATTCTTAGTCATTTAATATAATATACAAAACTAATTAACCTTACAACTTATTTCGGAACAAGCAAAGTTAATATAAAATTTAGAGTATTTTCGAGTAATCGTGTAATCTGGCTTTTTTTCAACTATAGGAGCAGATTTTTAGTTGTGAACTTTATTTTAGAATGGTTTTCCGCAATATTCTTCTACTTTTGATTGCCATCACATCAGTCAAAATGATTGAAAATCCAGATTCTCACTGCGATTATTTAATACGAGTAAGTATAAGTTACAACCTTTTATTTTTTGATTTTTAATTCCTGTTTTGATTGCAGTACTTTTTATTAAGATGGAATAACCAAACCGACGCCTTTCAGTAAGAAATTTGAACCAAGTAAAAGATTGTAATGCAAATATTTAAAACAAGTTGTAATAATAGTAGGTATATTTTTGTCACCAAAATTAACAAAACGTAAAATCTTATTAACAAAAAATAAACCATTGAAAAAAAAGGAACTGAAAAGCGTAATGTTATAACAAATAATCTTGTCTCAACAAACTTACTACTCTATTAAAGATTCACTTAAATCAGTTCTAAAACCCTCACAAGCCACAACATGAATGCAAAACTTCGTGATGACCTGTTCAGTAGTTAAACCGTAAAAACGTTACAAGCAGACAAACACATTTTCGTATTTATAAGTTAGGATTAAGTACGATTACATCTGTTATTTAATCGTACGTAATCTTAACGTATCGTAATCGTAACGTAAGTATTATATTTACTTTTAAGTTGCCTTTTAAAATACCTGTCGTTTTGACTAGGTTGCTCTGGCTATGATCACAAGTTGACTGGCTCAAATGTGCACTTCAATCCAACGATGCGAGTCGTCATTCGGATTGACAACTAGAAGGCCAATTCTTCAATCAAAGTTTGGTCACAATTCAGTTCCAATCAACTCTCCATCTCACAACTGTCATAAAAGTTATTTTCGTAGTAAAATATTAAATATCCAACGTTGCTGTAATGTGTAAATATCGTATTGTAACCAAAAATTGAATAGGTAATCGTTAGTAATATTTTACTATTTTAATACTAAAATATCTTTTATGACAACTGCCAGATCAAGAGTTGATCGGGACTGAATTTTGACCAAAATTTTATTACGAGAATTGGCCTTCTGGTCGAAACGTCTCTAAATGTCCACAGGTACCCAATCGTCAGATGATAACTGTTGCCAACGCAGAATGGCCCAGTCCTTACCTGCCTAACTTAATTTGTAGGTGGGTATTTGATTGTCCGTCTGGGTACGCTTGTCGACTCCGGTGTCGTGATGTTGGGCTGCCTAAGGTAAGTTATAGTTAACTTTACACATAACGATTAAAGAAATACTGTATTGCACACATTATATGTCAGAGATGCTCGGTTTACCACATGCGTTTCATGCATGCACAGTACTGTCAAGAGAAAAGTCTTTTGTACTGCGAAAAGTACGTGAAGCAAAGAAATAAGCCATTGTTCGAACTTCAACAGAGACATTGAATGGGCACTGACTGCTGCATGATGACGGACGCAAACTTACGTCTTACGAAAAACCTCACAGTTGATTTGAAATAAACTCATACTAGGCCCCGTGTTAGCTCGGTGTGCACCTTTTTTTTTTTTGTTGACGGGGTGGAAAATCCCTTTGGATCTCCTGCTCCTCGGGGACTATGAGCCAGGAGTATGTGGTGATTCCACTAAAAACCACCCCGACGGCCGGCCTCAGGTGTCCTACTCTGGAGAGGACCCGGACCATGTAATTTCAGGTCTTCCCCGAATTGACACCATGCCTAATCAGGCCCTATCTCAGGGGAGAACACTTCCCCCCTCAGCTCGGTGTGCATCTAGGCTACAACCCGGTGCTCCTTACGTTGACGGATAAATCCATGGGAACGACACTGGTTCTAGTTCAGTCTAGGACCTACAACCGACGTGCTAGGACTTCTCACTCCTTGTTTAAGAGTCCTAAAAGATTTGATACTAATCGAGCATCCCAAATTATAAACGAGAGTCTCGATAGTTATTATTCCAATTCAAATTTACTTTTTAAAAGTTCGTAAAATTACAAATCCTCTCATACTCCTCTCAAACAAACAAAAACGGTAAATGATTTTGGGCACTTACAAATTGAAGGTTTTAGAACTAGATCCCACCCATATTACCATACCATATGGATTATGGTCAGATATATAGTAAATGTTATAATTCAGTATTATATTTTCTTAAATTTCAGACACATGGATGTTTTCTGGACAGGTTAATGGTATCAACGTCGGGTAATTTGGACCTGTCTGACGCCCACGTCTACTGCGGCGGGAAGAAAGTCAACGCCAGGTCTATTGGCTCTAGGATGGTCATGGGTAACATGATTTGTTTCCTTTCATTTAATCCTTCAAAAAACTGACTCTTTAGTATAAGTAAAGGGAAAAAACGGTTTCACTCTTTAGCAAAAAGTATGCACACTGGTATTCAGACGGTTTTATTATTACAACGACTATGGATCTACAAAACGGCATTAAGGCGTTAGATGGCCTGGCTAATAAGTCACTCTTACTGATTTATAACGTTTATAAAATTACTTGCCCTGAGTGACTCACTGATTCATCAACGCAGATCCTAAACGGCTGGTCCTACAGACTTGAAACTTATCGGAAATTTCACCCCTAAGGGGGTAAAGTTCATAATTTTCAAAGTTACCTAGTATTTAGTTAGTTTCAACCCACGCCGGGCATTCTGCCAGTGTGTGGAGCGCGCTGTCCACGTTCCGGGCATCGTTATTTTTTTTTTAAATTTCGTTTTCCTGCTTCTGGTTATAATTAAATGGATATATGTATCGTGGTTTTTTTTACCCATAATGGGGGTAAATTCGGGGTGCCCGTTAATAGCTAATAAAACACAAGTTCCACGAGGACGCGAGTATTCCGAGTATTCATGAAACATAAATTCGTCAAATTTCACTGTCTGAAAGCAATATTTGTTTCATTATTTCAGGTTTAGTCACAAGTGAAACGTCTCCAGGCGGTCGATTTAGATGTAAAGTGAGACCTGAACCATGGGTGTAAGTAACGGAAACTATAATCATTACAAAACAAAACAAAAATAACCATCATTTTTTTATAAAATAGTATTTGGGAACTTTTATCTTATCTATCACCGAGATCGGAATTAGGTGAGCGATTTTAATCTCTCTGTGTGATATAAATAATATGGACATGGCTATGTATCCGGGACTTTCTTAGTTACGTAATAAAAAAATTGGTATAGTAAATGTGTTGTAATTTTTTAATACATTTTAAATTAAATAAAACCCACTTATTTAGCTTGAACAGTAATTAAGTGAAAAGAACGGCAAATATACAAAAAAAAAAGTCGAGGAATAATGTAATAATTAATACTGTATCATCAATCATCAGCCTTAAACTTTCTAGAAATATCGTGTCTCACTTTGTCTTTGTAAAATAATTTCATTTTTAATTAATTATGTACAATGAAATATCAAATACATCTCTCTTTTATAATTTACTCATTTGTTTGTTTGACGTTAAGCAAGGCAGATTATATTTTTCAAGTAAGAACGTACCTACTATCAAAGATATTGTTACAATATGTGAGATTACTAGACTTTTCTTCATCATGCTGTCTAACTTTGTGTACCCTCAACTTACTCTACAAATTTTACTAAATCTCGGTAAAATTTAATACCATATCCATATTAACATTCAGTTTAATAGCTCACCTAAGTCCTATGCATACTTTTGTATATTCCAGTTATGTCTGAGTGTGTGTGTTGTGTGCTGGATTTAAACCTACTTTTATCTTTGTTTATAACAATTTTCACAATATTTTTCACTTATGTAATGTTATCTCTTTTAGGGCTGATGACTTAAAGAATAATTCCTTTTACAACTAAAAAGAACTAGACACAAAACGTTGAATTTTAAAGATTAAATTTAAAGACACAAAAGAACTTGTTTGTGTGTGAGTGCGAAATTTGAAGCTTTTACGATCCTTGCCTTCATACATCATAAGAAAATATAAAGTAACCATTCATACAAAGCAAATACATGACCAAATGCAAGTGTTAAGTATATAACGTAAAACTACATAGTACTATCAAAGGAACTCGATGATCGAGGCACCAGTCAGTGATTACAAAATGTACATGGTACAAGTAATCGATGAGGAATATATCAGTGATCGAGCAAAAATTTGGTGTTCGAACAACAAGTCGAAGTTATAATCATAAGTCGGTGTTAGAATCACAAGTCGGCGAAGAAGTTGGATCTTGTTTATGGCAACCATCATGTTTCTATTCGAATCGTTAACTCGGCACCCTATAAACCCTCGGCAACTTGTTAACAGGGATCCTTCCAAACAAGAAGACTTTTTGAGATCATTATATACCTATTAGAGAAAAAGGTTATTATTTTTTGTTAATTATTTTGTTGCCTAAATGTGTAACTTAATTGTTTTAGAAAATAAAATAAATGATCTCTGTCAAAATGTGTAATTGTATAGGGTATGTCCTTAATATCTACGGGTCATACGCGTTGTTTACTGCGTTTTATAAGGAAATTCTTATTTCCTTCGAGAAGTCTTAATCGCAATACGTTCGCGTATTAAATTAATATTTGATTAAAAGTATAGATTTATTAATGTGGGTGTAATAAACTTCTACTTCTGACGTTTTCAATTATCCACAAACAATAAAATATTACATTTTACTTCGACTTACGACTTCGCACGGGTGTTAGTGTGCACATCGTTTTCAAGAACGATATTGAGATTAAGATTGAGTCTACGTAAATCTCTTAAATTAATTTTTGGCAACCTGGTTGCAATATATATTTTCAACGTAAACTGTCATATGTTTGAACTTTTCTGGAACAAATCGCATAAAAATCTGTTTTGCGGTTTGGAAGTTGCGTATATAGATAGACGCCTAAAGTAATTTTGCTTTATACTGTGTCAATATTAAAAGTAAAAAACATGCTCTTTACTTTTGACCGAATTTTAAAAAGTGAAAATAAGAATGTCATTACTCACCTCCTTGCTGACAGCTGACTGTTACCTAGCCATCGAAGAGTTCAGCTAAACACATCATGTCTCCAAATACTTAACTTCAGATGCCAAATTATTGTATTATCATTTAAAGTATATAAACGTACAAAGGTTTTATTTAGGTTAAAATTGATTTCCGAGATTGCTTTACATAGTTTGTTTGAAATTCAACCAATAAAGGAGTGTTAAAAAAGATTGGTCATGAGTGATCAGACTGCCGACTGTATGCCTAAATATTTGTAATCACGCCAGCACTCTTTATTATCATGGTGTACAATAAGAGAAATAACCGTAACTAAGTCATTTTTACCGTGGGAGAGCCATGTACCGAACATGTGGACTGGCTCTACCGAAGTGGAGAGGAGACTCCACGGCCTCACAGACAACGGTTATTTACCAATTCTTTCGTCCCATTTGACCGAGTATTTCCCCTCTTTTAATTCTGGAGAAGGGGGCATGAACTGACTGACTCTTGGACTTGCAGATGTACATGAGCGGCGGTTGTCACTTATCATCAGGTAATCCGTCTGCTAATTCTTATGTTGCATGGATAGCATTACAAAATTAAGTTTTTGTTTAAATAATTGCAATGTATTTTACTTGTAATATATTTTTATTTCTGCATATACATATTTCGTATTCTGATTACAACTAAATTGTTTTCATATTAATTGAAATCATTTCCTATTTTAATATCATTATTAATTATTATATTATTAATATACCTCTGAGGTTAAACATTAATAAATACAAACATATCAGGGCGTTATACATCATATTATTATTGGTATACATAGTTTTCTTTCTGTCTTTCTTTTCTTTTTCTTTTTTAAAAAGGTCTACTAACAACCGAAATGACTAGTATTCACGTTAACCCTTATCGCTAAGATAAATTGGTGTTAGGAGTGGGTTCACGTGTGTAGTGTACTGGTCAGGATTCGAACCCACCACCTATTGATCGCAAGTCTAATGCCTTAACCACTAGGTTACCGCCGCTTAATAAAAAAAGAAAAGTTATAAAAGATGTTAGCACATATGTTATTTGTTAGGTACTAGCTGAAGAACACATTAAAGTTACCTTTATTCTACTAATAAGCAGTTAGAAAGGAGGTTTCTAAGGAGAGGCCTATGTCCAGCAGTGGACTAGTATAGGCTGTTGATGTGATGAATAAGCAGTTTATGTGCGTGTCATTAATAAATATTGCCAATGTTTAGTGACTTTCATAGCTGACTGAGTATAAATCGTTATTAGCTAACAAGAATAAGTGACTAGTTACTATGAGAACGATTATTCTTGAGAGACTAGGCAGTCAAGAATATGTTATATGTAATTTAAAATTAAATTAATATATTTTAAGCTCTGCTTAGTTTGAAACTAGATGGCGTTGTGTGTCAGATGTCCGAAAAATATTATTCAAATATTAGTATTAATTTGTTTAACTAGATAAAAACAATGTAACAACAGATCTCTCTTTAGAAACTCTGTATATATTTTTCTATATATATAAATATATTTATGAATTTATTCTTAACAAAAAAGTCCAACTTCACTACAACAAAATATCACTTTTATAATATATTTGAATCTCAATGTCGAGGGAATATCTTTTATGGACGGAACATTATTATTACAAAGTTCAAAGTTTATGGTGGCCATACTTGATCTATTTTACATTTAAAATATTAAGCTAGTTTATAGTCATATTTAAAGAAGTTTACACACACTATGAAGTGATGCTATAAAATGACTTAAATACAATAAGAATAATGTAAATTTTCACCTCTATTACTAATAATAGGGGCAATTACTAATGCTCTATAAAATGTGGCAGTGGCAAATACATATCGTTCCATCAATATTGTTAAGGTCGTAACTCACTTATAAGCATAGTGATCTAAGCATAGAGTGAACAAGAGCCCCAATCTTGCAATATAAGCAACGAGAGAGATGGATAATAGTTTCCTCTCTCCTTCTAGTCGACCTCTGTGGTTGGCTGGGGAATTTCACGTCTCCAGCCTGTTCAGATCAAAACCATGCCATGCCCACTTCACGATAGCAATCGGAGCTTAGCTAAACAGAGACAAAGGGAACTATCGGGCATTCATCTCTCTCGTTTCCTGTATCGCAGCTGTAACACGTGTTCTCTCTATGCTTATATGACACACGCTGTCAGCGGGTTGATAATGAGCGAGTACTCCAATTAGGGGCGGCGCGGTTCGTACAGTACCGCAGCAAAATCGTATCAGTGTTCTACAACCTTTAGTCTTCTTTGCTAGTATCAAGCATTTTTACTAGTGATGTGCCGGATCGTTAACAAAGTATATCCGCGGATACGGATCCGAATACGGATATTTGGTGTCAAGATCCGCGGATACGGATACGGATACGGATCTTAAGTTTCTTACTCAATCGGAGCCCGTGACCTTGATAGTTGTCGCCACTTGACGCTTCGCCGTTGATATTTAAATAATTCATTATTTTAATAAGCTAATACAAAGATGTTTGATTGATCTCATTATAAAGATAGCTCTTTCAGTACCTACGACCTGCCTAGTTGATTTAGTGTAGTACGATAAATGATTGCAATACAAAGGTGCCAAATATTTGTTTTAAGAAATAAAAAGTAATCTGAACAGAATTCAATAGTTTTTCATAGCTACCTAATAACCATTATTCAGGGTTAAATTTAAATTTACTGGAAACCTCTGAAGTGCATATTAGTAACATTATAAACAACAACTTTTTTTCTGGACTAACACCGAAAACGAAAGAAAAAAAATTGTTTCTCCATACAAACTAACAACATTTGATTGCTCATTTGAATGGAAGGCCAATTTTTTTTCATTTTGACGTTGGCCAGAAAAAAGTTGCTGTTTATAGTGTTACAAACACATACCTAAGAGTTTTACAGTGAATACAAAATCACCTATATAGAATTTCATCTATGTAATATGTATTGAAAGATCCGCCAAAAAAGTCACGGATACGGATACGGTTACGGATCTCTCTTCTCCCTTGGATATCACTAATTTTTACTAATAACAAAAATAACAAACGCGGCAAAATTTCACATTTGTACCGCTCTTGCAATACGTATAGAAAAGATCTAAAGAACACTTTCATAGCTTTATTTATTTTTGTAATTTAATTCGCATCGTTTACCATTTTCTATAGCAACACAGAATATTATTGCTAGCAACATTACTGCATGCAAATATCTACTAAGTTACACTAGCAAGGAGTTTCTTCTAGTTCTAAAAGTCAGGTTTAATGTACAAAAGGATTTAAATTGCACTATGTTTTTGTAACAACACTAATGGCGTACCATCTACTAAGTAGGCAACCAGCCAACTAAGCAAAAGGTGAATGGGGTTCGATCCCACAACCACTAAATCCAACAGATGCTGGTATCATTGCTGAACTGACTAGCTCATTTATCAGATCTCTTCTTGATACCCTTTCCATCCTTCTCGTGAAAGTATCCTCCATGACCAGGTACCAATTTTATCGGCTGTTTACTCCCTTGATTGCGTTCTGGATTCGACGAGGTTCTCTCGGGGGACGAATCGGTCACGATTCCCTGGAGCCGATGAGTGTTTGTTTGACTTAATCTGAAGATTGTAAAAGAATATATTTAAATATTAAATCATCGAGATTCATACGTTAGCTTCTAATTATCTGCATTCGGAGCTTAATGAGACTTAAGCTGTAACGATAATAATGGAAATAAAGAAAATTACAAATACATCAACGATAAGATTGTTTTCACTATACATTTTAACATCAATTTTGATGCGTATCGTTTTTACACGCTTTATATTAGCTTCACTTGCATGTTTGTATGTTTGTTTGTAACCAACTCCTTTGGGCATGATTTTGACTGACTTTAAACGGTCAGAATTCGTTCAAACTTTGTAGATATATCGAGGACAGATGACAATACACTAATTTAAAATAAAATATTAAAAAACTAAAAAACACGCTTTTTATGGAAAACCAAACTAAAAAAAGTTTCTCGCTATAAAATAACATGTAGACTTACCTAACTTCTTCCACATCAGCCACCTTATCGATAAGGCTACGTATAATGGCCTCCTTGTGTTCCAGGGCGAGGGAGGCGCGTTCCAGTTCGCGGCGGTACTCCGAGTGAGCCAGGGCCGCTCGTTTCTCTTGCTCTACTATACGACGTTCCAGTTCTTCTAGGGAAGAGTAAGCTCGAGATTTTACAGCCTAGAAGGTGTAAACTGTAGTTATCAGATGGAGATTGTATGAATTACTGTCAATTCCATTATTACACGAATGAAATTTAAACACGGAACAAGAATGCGGGAGTTGACAACTTTCCAAAAATAGTTTTAGACGCTTCATGTGTTTAAAATAATTTTAAATGTAAATAAAAAATAGACCATAAAAGCCGGCATTTTAGTCACGTGACGTAGGTATTACGTCATTATTCCACTGAGTGCTTCTACTACAAAGACAAGATAAGCAAGCTAGCTATTGGTGTGTTTGCACATATCAGAAAATGTCACACACCAAAACCTATTTTTCTTAAAGGAAAATAAAACAAACTAGTTATTATCTTCCTATTAACTGTAATATATTAGACTTTCTATCAATTTAAAAGTTTTTTTCCAATTTTAAACATTATGTCAACTCACGGATTTTAAATGTTATCAATAGTGTAGCCTATCACTTTTAAGTTAGTGTTAAACTGTGTACGCTAAGATGAAACAGCATGTGGAGAGAGCAGCATCTTGAGAGAGATGGGGGATTAAGACTTGTCTTTAGTCTGTACCTGGATGGGGAAACAGCGTTTTTGCCCGTTGAAAACTTCCCAACTTGGAAAGAGTGTATAAGTTCGTCTACCTTGAACTTCACACTTCACACATTATTAATCTGATAAACTCTCACTATAGGCAGAGTAGGTGGGAGTTAGGATCACGCGAAAGGGCACCACACCGATGGTCGGGTCGAATCAAGTGGATGTTGGATTTACCAATCACTAACGTTATCCGACAGGTTTAAGGCAGATTGAGATGGAGGAACCCAGTAAAAAAAATCACAGAGGAGTATCAAATCATATACGAGCTTCAGTGATTGAATAATGCGATTAGGAAGTAAGAAAGAAACAATGATTTGACTTGACAATGAATTACCGCATTGCCCTGCACTAAATGATAAACGCTGCTTTTTTTCTGAACAAATTTCGATGTAAAACAAGACAAATGTTTACCTTAATTTCATGTTTGATCTTGTCGAGCGCGTGCAGGGCGAGCCGCAGCGGCTCGTTGTTGTGTCGCCCGCGCCGCGCGCTCGTGCGCACGCGCAGCGCGCGCGCCGCCGCCGCCTTCAGCCGCTGGCGGAAGATCACCGCCGCCTTGCGGTACAACCTGCACGTGTGCTCTCTCGTATGTATACAGACAAACACCCAACTATGCTTTAATATCATCAATAAAAAGATGAGTACCTTTTTCTTCCCTGTTTGTCACCAGATAGAGAGTACATACCTTTTAAACGTACAAACTTTAATCTCATTAATAAAAAAAAAAATTAGAAGACAACACAAACACTACATTAATAGCATCTAGTGTTTTCTGTGAGGCCATTATATCACTCCGGTCGAACCGACTATGTTCAGTGTCAAATTTCAGAATACCTTTATAATATATTAATTGTTTACAGTTGCGTTAAAGACTTGCAACTGTACAATTTCAGTAATATTGCTGTTTTATAGTAAACACACATACCTGACATTCTTTAATGCCTTTTCCAACTCTTCTTTCATATTTTCATTCTCTTGGCAAGCTTTGGCATACTTTTCTTCTAAAATACGCAATTGCTCTTGCAGCTTGGTGACTTGTTCACTCTTGCGATCTGTCTCCATGCCGTACTGATGTTTAAGCTCTTCTAGTAATCTGTAAAACCAGGTGCCAAAGAGTCAATGTTTACAAAAAAAAAAATGAAGAAATACAGTATTTTTGGCAAGCCATTCGAAAATGGGTTTTATTGATTAAATTAATCGATTACATTAAAAAAGAGTAATACTAAAAATTTGAAGGAAGAAGATCATAGTGTAAGTGTAAAGGCTAATTTTAAGCGTGGGAGAGCCATGCAGCACATATGGGCCAGGCTCGACCGGAGTAAAACCGCGTGGTGTTACACAGAAAACTAGTGTAAAGCTTCTGTGATCTGATGGAAATTTAACGCAATGCGGTGGCGATTTATTGCCGATATTGCGATTTATTTATGAAATATCATTGTGCGGACGGGCCCTAAATGTTACTGGTTGCCGGAAATTAACCCCCCCCCCCCCCCAGCCGCTGCCGCCCTTATAACGCTTGCACCTTATGCCATATAAAAAAGTCGTTTTCAAATCAACGAATATACTTTTGTTAGCAATGCAATCATGGTTACCGATATTTTAACTGATAAACATTCATAGGTTCTTGGCCACTTTGGAATTCTATTTTAAAAGAAACAATAACTTGACCATTCTAGTAGCTATTCACTTACTTTTAATAGACATGGTGAAAAGAAAAAGGGGATAGAATGCTACCTTGTGGCACACCAGTAGAGTTTGGATTACTTAACGATAAAAATGTTTCTTAAATACATATTTATTAATGGTGCTCAAACATACAACGTAAGCATGTAAATAACCAATCGCCATAAGTTCACAGTGTTAAAAGCCTTATTAAAGTCAAGCAATGACTTCATTACAATTTCAGACGTCGTACCTTTTGCAATGGTCGAGTCTTCTCTCGTGCATGTCAGCGGGCACAGTACGCGATCGCATAGCGTCGAGCTGCGCCAACTTGGTTTCCGATATTTCTAGTGCGCTCTTTACGCTAAAGTATTCCCGGTGGATGGTTTCGTAGTCACGCATCATTGCTGCCACTGTAATACGCAGATTTAAGTTGTAGTTTTTTTTTTAGCTACGTCATCTAAGGCGGAGATTTAAAAGCAATTAAATCAGATATCTGAAGAAATTTGTTAACTTGTAAGGATACGTCCTATTTTAATTTATCCAACGCTTATAACATTAAAGTTAAACTTGTATTATTTATATATATTATATTTCCATTAATATTACAGATGTAATAGCTAAAGTCTAAATTGTTTTGAGCTTGACGAGTTTATTAATTTCGATCGAGAATTACCTACACCAAATTAATTTTAAATATTATGTTTTAGCCGATTTTCTTTAATGGTCTCATTCTTTTAATTTTTGTTTTCATTAGTTTTATCATTTTAAACTAAGAGCAGTAAGAATTAAAATCTTATAGCTAGGAAGCCCAGTTCTAATTTTACTTACTTTTATCTTCATACAATTCGTAAACCTCCTTCAGTTTAGACTCAGCTCTTTCAGCCCTTTCAGCAAACGTTTTCTTTTCAATATCTGCAGTTTCTTTCCCCACCGCCAGCTTCTTCTGACTCTGCCTTACATGTGCCAACTCGTCTTCCAACGCCTTCACTCTTTCTGTCAATGTTTTGTTTTCGGCGACAATTTGTTTAGACTTTTTATTGATGTTTTCGAATTGCTTTTCATAATCTTGAATAAGGCTGTCTTTTTCTTGTAGATTCTCTTGATAAGCGTCGAAGAGTGGTGCTGTAAAGACATACATATATAGTGATACAGTGGCAATGGTTAAATAAAACAAACTCTTTTTGACAGCAGACCGTACTTCTGTTTTCGTAGTTTATGGCTCATATGGAGTAACTATTATATAAAACACACAATCATATCAGATGCTAAACTAACTGAAAGAAGAAATTCATTTAAAACAGAACAAAAAATTCTTTAAAGACGATTTCAAACAATTTTAATTATTTTATGAAATAAAAATAATTTGAATTTACTAATTTCCAGGTCAAAATCACATGGTGCTCAAATATTTCTTCTTAAGACTTGATGAGACCGATTACCACAACTACTAACCTAGAGCTTGAGCACTCAACAATCCCGATAGATCAACTGTTCGGCTTGTATGAGAAAGATCATCAGGTTTTAGTGTTTGTCCATCTTCTGCACTCACATTATCTGTAAAAATATATATAGATTTGGTATGCCATCATCTATACTAATAAAAAAATTAAAGTGTCTGTTTGTAATAGGTTTTTTTTCATGTTTACACGGTTATTTACACGATACCTTTTTTTTTGTTGACGTGGTGGAAAATCCCTTCGGATCTCCTGCTCCTCGGGGACTCAGAACACTTCCCCCTTCAATCGCGGCATGGCGGCCCGATCGCATCTTAATGCAATCAGGCCGGCCATTCCATCCCCTGCCGCAGGAATCAATCTGCCACCAGAGGTCACCACTCTCTAGCGGCCCGCGGCCATTTGCACGATAGCTATGCCTCAAAATCCGTTTAAATATTTTTTGTGTCTTCAAAATCTTCAAACGGCTGGATCGATTTTGATAATATTTTATTACCAGGTAGCCGTCTATATACGGAGTAACTTAGGCTTTTTTCCTCGCAGAAAAACCCTATAAAATTATGCCCGGTCTGGGAATCGAACCCAAGGCCTCATGGACTGCAGTCGCTTACTTTACTACACCACTAAGGAAACGCTTTTTAAATTCCATGCGAACTAAGTCGAGGGTACCAGCTAGTCATTAATAAGAAAAGCGAGTTTACATGTAGATTACACCTTGGTATTGGTACTTTTGGTATTTTATTATGCAACACATAATAGACTAAAATTTTAGCAAGTTTGTAAGTTTCAATGTAGTAGTACAACGCAGTCAAGGTTGTGCATCAAGTTTTGTAGATCCAAAGACATTTGTCCTGGGTCTGGGTCCTAGGTCTGGGCTATGTACTTGTTTAATATTCGTAGTCGTAGTTTGTTAAGAAATAGAAAATAATTTGCCATTTGATGAGACACAAATTTTTCAACACGATACAAGAAGAAGAATTGAGGAAAAGAGAAGACTAGGAAAACCTAGAAGAAGTTTAAGACGGTAAATGATGCAGAAACTAGGAGGAGGAGGAGAACTTTATCATTCATCAAGGGCGAAATTGGTTAAGTCTCGCATAACACAGGGAAATATCAATACGCTATTGATAGATGAGGGATAAGATGAAATGATGAGAGATGTTTAGTCTTCTCTAAAAGAAATGGATCCTTAAACATCCTAAGTTAGAGCCTTAGGATCAGTCCCAGCCCAGAGCAGAAAATTCTCAATGGACTCTCAATGGAAAATTCTCTCCAATTAAATAATAACTTCTGCTGTTCAGGGGCTTCGCTTATTAGTGATTACAATGATGAGTTAAGTATTGCTTGGATACGATCGTTGCATCCTTTTTTTTTTTTTTTTCCGTGCGGAAATCCCCTCGGATACCACCAGCATGGCACCACCATGGCATGTCGGACTCGAACCGACTAAAACCGCACGCCGTCGCCGGGTACTAATAGCCGGGGAACCAGGTATACCCTAGAAAGGAAGTCCCTGGTGCCCCGACATACCTCGGGTCATCTACAGACGAGTAGACGACCCCCCCCCCCCCTGGTGGGAACCCCATGGATTTAATTCCATAGTAGGGCAATTTATAATAGATGTTTCTGAAAATGCTTGGTAATCTGACAATATCACAGTGAATTAACATGAAAGAAAGAAAGAAGTACATAATCATTAAAGAAAGAATTGCAGAAGTACATTATCATTAAAGTTACAATTTTCTTGTGGGTATATAAGTTTTGAACCCTGACATCCAAACTAGGTACAGACCAGTGTTTTGGACATCAGTTTTCTGCTAGGGCCACTATTAACAATATTGTGAATCTTGGACTTGTTGGACTACTTTACTGTTACAGTTTTTAATAATAACATGATTATGGCTTAGATATAGGAGCATGGATTGTAAGAATATCAGCGCGATGTGTGTATGTGTGTGTGTTCCTGGATGTGTGTGTGTGTATGTATGAGGGTGTGTATAAGTGTGTGTGAACTAAACAAATATATCAATAGAAAGTTGAGCATGTACTGAAATTTGCACGCGAACTCGGGCATAACCACGGTGTAAGGGACGTCCTAACGAATACTGAAATAGTGTATTTAGACCATCATTCTGAGTCGAAAATCATTGGAATTTTCTGCCGGAAAATTAAACTTTTCATGCAATAAGCTGTCAAAAGTTAAAGTCATTTCCCGCAGGTATCGCACAAAAGTAATAACTACATTTGAATTCCGTGCAAAAAAAATCTACGCGCACTAACACCCAATGGAGGCCGGAGGGGAGGCCCCGCGCGCTTCGGATGTTTAATTAATTACATTGCAGTTTTTTAGTATTTATTAAATTGTTTTCGGTAAAATGTTCTGTCTACTCCTTGTGATACCATTTGTCATCATTTTGAACGAGAAAAATGAGATTTAAAAGAAAATGATGAATTTTCCGGTAGAAAATTTCAATGATTTTCCACTCAGAATTATGGTCTGAATACACTATTTCAGTATTCGGTACGATGTCCCTTACACCTTGTATATTATATTTTTTTTATATTAATTTACCTTGTCCTTTATATCCTAAGCTGGCAGTGAGGAGAGAGTCCAAAGCATCATATTTGTTGTCCGGTAGTTTGTAAACTTGCTCGCCTTTATCACCAGCCATTGATTGAATATTCTGACGAAGCTTTTCTTGGTAACGAGACAGCTGCACATTTAGTCTGAAATTGCAGTGCAGTTTGGTAGTATAGTCTACTTTCATATTTGATTTATACAAAAAAAACAAATTGAAGTGTCAAAATAACAGCGGCTTAGTAAACGTGTCTGAATCCTTAGACAACGCTTTTATTAAAAAAATAAAATTCTTTGAATCTTACTATCTATGAAACAGGTAGTGATATATATATACGCACCTATACAGCACATCTTTAAGTGCCTGCATATCTTTCTGTAATCTAGCGTTATGTTCCCTCGCTTGGTTGACAATGATCTGACGGCTGCTGCAGCTCATACATACTTGTACTAGGGGGATTGCTGTAGGCGGCTCGTGTTCTGAAAACCGATTTTTTTTTTATGGAAGAGAGGCAAACGAGCAGACCTGTCTCATCTGATGGAAAGTGAGTACCGCCAACCATGAACGCCTGCAGCTCAGGAGTCGCAAGCACGTGCCCAGCTTTTTAGGAGGGAGTACGCTCTTTTCTTGAAGATTTGAAAGTCGTATCCGTCCGGAAATACCGCAGAGATATTATTTTTATTTAAGAAAATCATCAATAATTTTAACACTTGATATAACTATAAGAACTATGTGTCCTTGGGAAAGACGAAAACAAAAAGAGAATTACTACAGTAACTCTCGCCATTGAACCCTGTTTTCAATAAAGGACGCAAAAAATTTCTTTATAAAATTATATTACAAGAGATTTACTCCTTAAAGAAAATTACTAAAATAAACCTTAGAAGTGTTACCTCTATCGGGCAGCTCATACTGTTTTATTTTTTCTTCCATCTCTTTTCCTTTCTTCTCTAATTCTTTATTCTTCTCTCTCTCTTCTCTAATGACTTTCTTACATTCTTCGGCATATTTGACAAGTGTGTCGTATTGACTTCTTAACTGATCGTTTTCTTCTGCGAATAACTTGTTGTATTCCAAGACAGCTTTCAACTTCTCTTTTAGTTTTGATAATTGCGTGTCTTTTTCTGATAGCTGTGTAATTTATAACAAATAATTAGCAATTTGGAACAATTCACTTGCAGAGTACATAGAGTTATGTTTAAAGAAAAAGGGTAAGGAGCCAGAGCTTAGCCGAGAATACTGACCGATACTTATGAAGAAGGTAACTGAAAAGGTATGTAACTACGAAAGATTGCAGCCTGTCATTGACAAGGCGCTCCTTAATATGATAGAGAATAGAAATTACATAGAATTTTAACTTGAGAGATTAGAATTTATAATAATAATATTTTCACACATCTCTCACTGCTGTCTGAATTCGAACTAGGCAGAGCCTGTACTATGGTAACCAGACTACTGATAAACATACTTAAATATTTCTAAATACATACATATTATAGATAAAGTACATCCAGACACAGAACAAATGACCGTGCACATCACACAATTATTTGTCCTGGGTGGGCATCCAATTCACGAGCAAAAGTTTAGCAGTCACGGTCACTAACCAATAAACCAACAGGCCAGTCAAAATTGATACCTCAAGAGCATAAAATAACAAACGAAACTGTATAAAACAGCTCAACCTCACAAAAGGTGTCAGTCTGAGCTGAGCTCAGTCTCTAATTCCACGGCGTCTATAGACTCCAGAGCTCTTTAGCACAATGTAGGGTAGTCACTAGAAATCATGCTATTTAGATCACTAAGCAATAAATCTTTGTCTTGACTAATTTTACTAATGCGAAAATATTTTTTTGCTTGTTTGTTTTTGCTGGTATCATGAAATTTTTACAAAGGGTAACCTTTCTCTAAAAAAAAGTCCTGCGCCTGAGAGACAGACAGAACAACTTTTCTTTAAGCAGATATACCGGCGAATTTAACTATTCAATAAATAGTTTTGCACAAACCTGCACAACATTCTTTTCACACCTCTCCATCAAGGAATTTATAAGCTGCTCATATTTCTTGGTAAGTTTCCTCTTCTGTTCTTTAAGAAGAGACTTGCCTTCTTTAGAACCTCGGGGAGATGTAACAGCTATTCCTTGGATGTTACGTTTTCTTGCAGGCTTAGCAGGTTTCTGTCCTGAGGATTATACATTTTTAGAAAATAATTTGAATTAATATTATTTATGGGTAAAATATGTCTAATGTAAGTGCTAAGACCATATTAATGAGAATACTGTGGAGGTACGAGTGACACAAAGACATCTTTCTTAGACACTAAGACTATTGGTGACACTTTCATTTGAAGTAAATTGATACTTGGGGGAAAAGCAATAATCTTTCTAATGTGCAGCAGTACCCTTCTTACAATCAAGTGGTTACAGGTCTGAACTTTACAGAAGTACTCTACGGATTTGAACTCTATAGAACCTTTCGGATATCTGTGTGACCACAAGTGTCAGAAGTATCTAAAAAATAAGAACTCTCATAATATATATATATATAATATGCTGGACAACAGCAAAGAGAAGGAAAACTTGACTCAAAGCCTTTTTTTTTTTTACGTGTGGAAACCCCCTCGGGCCGTCACCCCACCGGGGTTTGCGGCGGGGTGGAGTGTCGGAATCGGCTCTGCGCCTGTTATAGGAGGGATCCGGGAAAGACCAACCCATCTGGAAAGCATATAGTAGTAGTATTTCGAAACCACCTTTCTAAGGAGAAGTCCAGCAGTGGACTTTTAAAGGCTGTTGATGATGATGATGATGATGAAATCACAAAAAATTTACTACTCACATTGACAGTATAAATTTCTAAAGAACATCAAACATTTTCCCCCCTTTTTTTGGTATAGGGGACAAATTAGTATATGAGTAACCTGATAGTAGGTGACTAACGCTGTTCATTGACATCTGCAACTCAAGACAACTCTGCAACTCTTTAGAGCGGGGATTCCCAAAGTGGTAGATATCGACCACTTGGGTTCAAGATAGGTTTCGCAGGGGTCGACATAAACGAAATCTGATTTTGGGGGTCGACGAGGTCTTAAAATCGACCCTTATTCTTATTTGAAACGTTCAAGATACTGTACAAGTTGTGTCAAGTATACTAACTTGTGATAAGACTGACTAATATATCTATTTATTTTGTTAAATTTTGATGAGAAAATGTGATGATTACTCACTTAACCAACGGCAAAGTTTTTAAATTGGTAAGTATTTTGTTACAATAGGAAAAAAAATTGAGATAGGCATTTTAAAGGAATTTGGTTATGCGGGTCTGAGGTTTCAAACCATTTTGGAAAAGGGTTCTCTTGTCCAAAATAGTTTGGGAAACCTTTAGAGTTTCCAATCTCCAGAATCAGGGTATGTGGGGATTTAGGTATCAGTAACCTCACTCACTAAGTGAAAAGCAACAAAACACTTGCTTAAAATCCATTTTCACATTAAGATCATTCCACTTACCACCGCACTATTATTCTTCAGAAACAAATGTCAACATACCAATTACATCTCTGGGATCCTCATATATTGGGTTGTCATCAAAACTCTTTTCCTCAATCATCCTGGACTCAGTCTTCCGTGCAACAAGATCCAGTATGTCTTGTCTCATGCTTGCTCTTCTCAAAGGAGTGGAAATATCAAATTCCCTGTGTTTTTGACTAAAGTTTCCTGACAAAGTCAATTTTTCTGGAGAAAAGTTAGCTGAGCACTTTTTGGAGGCTCTTCCATGATAAGATAGCTGAAATTTTAAGAATAATTTGTTTATATTTACAAGTTTTGGGCTATTAATAGAGATTAGGAAGAAATATATTCTCTGCAATCTTTATTTATATATTATCCAATAAATTAATTGAAGAGTCTGTTTGTAATGTCAAAATAATAGGTTTTTTCATGCTCTCATGATTATTTGCATGTTACCTATGCCTAACAACCAGTTTAAATATTTTTTATCTATCTGTTTGGTAATCTTCAAAACAGCTGGACCGATTTTGATAACATTTTAGTGCCAGGTAACTGTCTATATAGGGAGTGACTAAAGCTATTTTTCTTTTCAGACAAACCCTATATAATTTGCCTGGTCTGGGAATCGAACCCGAGGCCTCATGGACTGCAGTCGGATACCGTACTACACCACTAAGGCAGTGAACAAAAATGCGGGTATCAGCTAGTATTGAAATATATTCTGTGCAAACAAGTCAGTGGCCAAATAGGAGCCTACCTTTTTATCTCTAGCTTCTCACATTTTACAAACTAACAGTTATTCATAACTAAGAGTGAGCACTTCCATAACATAATATGAAATGTATATCTACAAACAAGTAATAGGAAAATGAGTGAATTATTTTCCATATTAAGTAAACTAATAAATGTAGAATAACAAAACAATACATTACATACTCACTTTGAGACTACTGTCATCCATACTTTTGTCAACTTTTCGATCTACGTATCCCTGTTTCAAACATTTTAGGTACTTTATTTCTTCAAAAACATTCAAGAAGAACAAATCTTGATCAGTGGGTTTCTATTGATTATTTGTCTTAGATATAGCTACATGACTACATGCATCAAACAAAGACAATAAAAGCAAGATTTAAATAGGTCACTGGAGCAGGTCCATAAAATTAAACGCTATTTATTGAAAAAACTTTGAAGTCTTAAAACAAAGTTTGGCAAATAATTTTAACCTCGAAAAACGAAATAAAATGTCTATGTTCGCTTGATATACTATACAATATATTGATATCTTCCATAAATATTTACATGTTTAATTAAAATCAATTTTTATTTAAATAAAATATATTTTTTAAATGTTATAGTAAACACCGGCAGTTTGACAGTATCGTAGTCATGGTGACCAAAACGTCCAAAAACAATAAGGTCAGAGTTGATTTCTTTAAAATAGCATATCTACCTACCCAATCCACAACAGATTTTTTTATCATTCACGAGATGGATGCTTTTTTAATTTAAAGAAGAAATTATCCCCTTAAAAATCAAGAATATCCTGCCAAGTTTTTTTTTTAATGGCAATAATAATGTTAAAACGTTTTTTATTGTTGATTTCTGTCATGTCATCAAATTCTAAAAGGATTACTCAGAGTTCAGTAATATTAATAAAGATAATATTATTCCTAAACCTTTAGTTATTCACATAGGTATGAATGAATATGCTTATTGAAACAATTAAAATGAAATCGAAGCACTCCTAACTCAAGTGTTTATCTACTCAGTCTGGCAATAATAACAAGAATATTATCTTCTGCGTAGCGCCTCAAAGTCCGTCATGTTCATGTTGTTAGAGTGAAAAACTTAAATGGTAAAAGTCACTTGTTAAACCTTTTTAGAAAGTGTGGGTTTTATGGCTCCATTTTTGTGTGCCGATTTTAGTTACACATCAAATAAATATGTATCTTGCCTGCCTCGGTGGTGCAGTGGTAGCGTATGCAACTGCTGTGCTGAGGTCTCGGGTTCGATTCCCCGGTCAGACCAAATATTTGTATGATCTGCAAATATGTTTTTATGTATAATATATGTCTATGTGTTTTCTGTGTATAATATGTATGTATTTACAATAAAAAGTATAAAAGTATTCTATCAGTTAATCTAGCTTTCATAGTAAAAGCTCTACTTAGTCTCCAACTAAATGGTGTTGTATGTCAGATGTCTGAAATTATTAGTATTATTATCTTTATTAAATTAAAAGTTCATTTTTAAATACATTAATGATTAATACAAAGAAACAAACAAAATATATTCAAAATATAAAAAATAGTGTTCCATCGGTATCGGGTACAGGGGACCAAGATACCGATAATTTATTATTAGATTGTCAGAATAAATAGTATTCAGTTAGTACCGAATAGTTATATTACCAGAATAAATATCTATCTTATTAATTGAATAACCTAGTAATTATTGATACTCAATCAAAATTGGGGATCAATAATTGATCAATAATTGGGGATCAATATGGGGAGCAATCTGCATAATAGCGTATCGTTATTTTTTCCCCTATTACTTTCATTTGAGAAAATCACTTTTTATAATAATTTCATTTCATTTTTTAATATCGCACGTATCTGGATTATATTCAGATATAAACTTGACCAACGTCAGAACTTACATTGAATGACATAGGCTTAGTATTTACGTCATAGTGATGCTTCTTGCTTTTATTAGGTTTTGCAATATGTATAAGTTGCGCGTGAATGTCGCCCCAATATCACAAGTACAGTAAGTAAACCTAGCTTAATAATAACGCTGATTCACAAGAGCGAATCTTAAGTACACCCACGTTTTGCACATATTATTGATGCGAAACAACTAATACGGAGGTTCAGACCATCTATTGGCGTAGCGATGTGTCGCCATGGCTATTTACGTCTTATATTTGTAATTTCCTTGTATAAGGTATCCTTTTCTGCTCATAATTTCTACAAAATAGTTTCTATGTTTTACCTCTGCCAGACATCCCACAACGGCTCAATTTTTGTTACCAAAGCATCTTCATGATATAACCAATATCTTTAACTTCTTGAATATGTTCATTTAAATCTAAAAAAGTCCTTTGGATATTCTAATGGATAACTTTCTGGCAACATTTAAAAAAGTGGCAAGGCCTGACATCTGTTGGACTGTATCAGAATTTGAGGATTTTGTGTAGGTGGCAGTAGTGGTAACAACATTACGAAACAAAACAGAAAAGAGTAGCCAATAGAACTGAAAAGGCTGTGGCGACTTTTATATTCCGTCGTTTATTAATCAGAGTGAGCATGCGTGAAAACAGCTGAGCGATTACAGCGACTTGAAGCGGCAAAGTATAGAACTAGGCAGTCGCATCATGTCTGCCTGCCGGTTCGGTGTATGACGCTCGGCGCCTAGGATAACCTCTAAATACTTTGTTGTTACTCCGTCCCTTCGACCGGAGTTCCTTTTTATTGATTTTACATTTGTTTTAGTAACTGCTTAGTTATTATTGTTTAAGTGTTGTATACCGGTGAATTGTATTTGTGTATTTGTCAACCATCGGGTACGCACTTGCTGTCGTATCCTTGCCTGAGTTTATCGATTTTTATTTTACAATGAACATAACGTTTTGTTTACTTATTATTGGCATGTAATATTGTGAAAATCATGTTTATGATGTGCATAATTCGACGATAGTGCTGTGAATTGTGATCGATTCAAGTATGTGCGAGAGTTCGCGCGAGACTTTGTGTTTTAGATGATAGAAAAATGGAATTTGAAAACGATTTCAGCTTGAAAGAATGGGCGAAGGACAAGCCTTTGTCCATTCTACAGTTGGACCCGGCCGACCGTGCAGTTTTAAGGATAGCAGGTTTGTTCAAATGTCTACATTCAGGGCCCCACGAGGGAGATGTTCCGCGGTGCAAAATTATTACACGTATCCTTGTTTTTCATGCAATCAGGTCACGTTATCGTTCACAACGATAATGACGACAGTTAAGATTAATATGCAGTGGAAACTCGATAAAATGTGTAGTGTTACCTATTATTACAATATCTAGTTGTTTACTTTCGCGTCTATGTTTCAACGCCTAGCTTAATGTTTTTTTTTCGCGTGATCACGACTGAACGGCCTCGCATAGTTTAGTTTTCACTTTCATCCAATTATAGTTTGTATTTAGTGTTTGTATAATAGTTTCAAGCACTGACTATATTGTTACCTTAACGAATTTGACCTGCCGATTGTGCAAGTCAACAGTACAAAATTTTTAAGTACACCGTTTTTGCCATCATCTGCTTGTAAACTTAATCACTTCACTTGCCTCGTCGATCCTGTTGATTAACAAATTAGATTAGCAAAATTCATTTAATACCGAAATCAGAAATCAGTCTGATGGAGGTATCGAAATTTCATTAGTAGGTACCTTTCGTAGATGGCAACCTTTCGTAGCTTATGCTCATCTGTGGAGTAGATTTGAAATCGGTTTTAGTACTACTGGTATGTATAGTAAAAATACCACATAGTCTAATATCAGCTCATTGCAACACTTATCTACTCTGTACATCCCATTTCCGTACATTCTTATTCAATAGGTATAGTTTTGTAACTAAATTGTTACTTCCCTAAATTTAGGTACACTTTAAATAGGTATTGTAGATTTATTCACCTATCTATTAGATATCAAACCACATATCATAAACTAGAACGTTCCTAATTCAAATTCGAACGATGTCTGTTCGCTTAGCGACTAAATTACACGTAATATTTGAAAATTAATATGATGAAAGTTTCCTGTTATATTTTACGTAGAAGATTTTTAATTCTCATTTCTTACCGCGCAAAATACACCTGGTGCCTAGGTCCACCTTGCAATGACGCGATGCAGCTGTTAAGAAAGAAATCAGTCGTAAATTTTTTGTACTAGACTATACTACGAGTACTAAGAAGATAGGTAACTTTTTAGGCCAAAGTTTTATATGGATAAAAGGGAGCTGCAGGCAATACCGTGTGAAGGTCGAAAGAATCAAGAATATGGTAGAATAACTAATACAATTTTTATACATTAGACAGATCAAAAAAAAATTTTGTCTGAGACATTAGAGTAAAAAATAAAATTCTCAGAATAAAAAACGGCTTTAATCTACCGATTACCTACAACGAAATTTTCAGGTAATCTTCAGATTAGCAAACCAGGAGACCCTGTGAAATACGGTAGCGGTAGCGATTTAATCAACTGGTTATTTTTTGTTTATAAGTGCCCTTACGAGGTTATAAATATGTTTTCAGTGTTTTAAATGCAGAAAACATAACTTATACATTATAGTTATAACCATTAAATTCGTAATAGCTAAACAGTTTTTTCAGCTATTTGTTCGTTTTGTCTCTTTACACGAGACATTTTAAAACTTGAAATAATTGATGAACTTAAGTATTCTATCTTCTAGTTGCCCACGTTACTAAACACAAACAAAAGTATTATTACACTACTTTAGAACGCCGGTCCCTTCATTAACGCTTGCATAGGGACTGTGTACTTGTCATGTGTAGCACTCGTTTGTAACTTTAAATTTATTACCCTTATAGTAGTGCCAGCAGTATCATTGCGAACCGAGTGAACTTATTTAACCGTTTCAAGGCAGGTGTGCCACCATCTTGAATAATAGCAAACCTAATTGTAACTTGCCGCATACCTGAATATCTTATCCCGTTTTAGCATATGAAAAAACGTAACGGCATCCCTTTCTAGAAAGCATCGTTCTTCCATTGTTAGTTTTTACTGTATGCTTTGTGCCTAAAGCGTTCCAAATTCAAATTCTCGAAACTTAAATAATAATATGAACAGACAAAAGGCAATTCACTTTAAATTTTAACTTTTTTATTTGACCTTACTTTTACGATTACTCGTAGTTGCAATTTTTTTTATACTCCCTCTTAGTTACGTTAAGTACAAG